ATGTCTTGCAAGTTGTAAAGAAGATGGTCACAATGTCGCTGGACTTCAATCTGGGTAGAAGACATGAGGGAACTCTGTCACTGAATCGCAGCAGAGTTCAAAGCCACTTGTAGACTATTTCATGTTACAGAAGGTGGCCTTTAGCTCCTAAGCAAAGGCCTCTGTTTCTCATTTCTTTCCTGTTCATCTTCTTGGTCATCCTTCTTCCTCAAGATAAAAGAGCCCAAGCAAAAGGCAGTTTCAATATTAATCTGACCAAAGTTTTGTGCAGTTTATTATCATCCAGGTAATCAGGTGCAACCCGATCTGCCTACCAGCCCCCCACCCCTGCTCTGTGTTTTCATTTAATAAATATTTTGGTCTACTTACTATGTGCTAAATTTTCTGGAGACCACAGAGTAAATGAGATAGAATCTTTATGTTAACAGCTAAGTTAGATTTAATATAACTGACAAAAATTAAAATTTCTGATTTCTTGTAAAAATATTTAGTATGTGTGAATGCATACTGAATGTAAAGTGGTTAACAAAAAATCACACTTGCACTCATGGAAGTCTTTTCATGAATTTGTCAGTTTCTTTTTTTCAATATTTCCCCACTTCTCTGGATAATGCATATCTGAACCTGGAAACTGATTCCCACTGCAGAAAGTGTTCTGAGCCACATCCTTTAGCTTCACTAGTGCAGGACCACCTGGGAGGATGGCCCAGCATCAGCTCAGCCCATGCTGTGATCAGCCACCTCCATGCACCCCACCAAGCAAGCTCCCTGGGTGATTCAGTCTCCACCACCAGGGCACCGACCTTTACTCTGTGTTCTCCTAGCTCCCTGTGGGGATGCTGTGCAAGACATCTCTATTGAGGATGCTGAATATGACATCTGTAATGAGGACACTGTACAAGACATCTCTAATGAGGATGCTGTAGAAGACATCTCCAATGAGGATGCTGTATACGAGATCGCTAATGAGGACACTGTATACGAGATCGCTAATGAGGACACTGTATACGACATCGCTAATGAGAATGCTGTATATGACATCGCTAACGAGGATGATGTATATGACATCGCTAATGAGGATGCTGTAGAAGATACTGCTAATGAGGACGCTGTATACGGCATCGCTAATGAGGACACTGTATAAGACATCTCTAATGAGGATGCTGTAGAAGTCATCTCTAATGAGAATGCTGTATACGACATCGCTAATGAGGATGCTGTATATGACATCGCTAACGAGGATGCTGTATATGACATCGCTAATGAGGATGCTGTAGAAGACATTGCTAATGAGGATGCTGTATACGACATCGCTAATGAGGACACTGTATAAGACATCTCTAATGAGGATGCTGTAGAAGACATCTCTAATGAGAACGCTGTATACGACATCGCTAATGAGGACGCTGTATACGACATCGCTAAAGAGGATGCTCTACAAGACATCTCTAAAAAAGAAGATGCTGCCATTGTAAGATACTTTTCTTTGTCTTGAACAGAAATGTTACTTTCCTGGCTTCTTCTGAGTCAGATGTAGACATGAACATCTGCCAATGTGCATTATCGATGTCATCTGCAATTTAATCAAAGGTAGACATGAACATCTGTCAATGTGCATTATTTATGACATCTGCAATTCCCTTGGTGTGGTGCTATTGATTGGCAGCCTGTCACCAACCCATGCCGGGCACACTGGGGCGTGGTAGATGGCAGCGTCCACGATCCACTGCAATGCAGAGGTGTTTCCCTCCACAGCAGTTTTCCCCCGTGGATTAAGGTTGTGAAACTGCCAATCTAAATATACTTTAAAGGTAAATTCTGTGGGAAAAGCTCTTTTCTTTTCCATAGATGTCCTCCATGTTAGTTTTGGGGGACTTCGACCTTTGACTCAATCACTATACCCCTTCTTATTTTCTCCAGTTGTTGAGAGAATATCAGATCTGTGTGACGTGCATGGCATCATTTTACCCTCCTAATGTTTTCTTTTCTATAATTGCAGGATCCATTTGTACTGGAGAATGGTACGTACCCTGAAATAACTCATTTCCTGAGGGAAAAATCCTGTCTCTAGGGTACAGAAACCTGATTCTGGGCTCCTTTTGGGAAGGAGGATTCCCAAATCATTGCTCTGATGAGAGCAAATGATTTTGCAAGTATAAAACAATGTCCAGAGAGGCTGTAGGGATATCTGTGAGCCCAGAGGAAACACCAGGGGATCCTGTGTGAAGCACCAGAGCTTCAGCTGGGGTCAGAGGAGTGGGTGGGCCTCTCTCTAATGACTTATCCTGATGTTTGTGTTTTAAAGATCTGTTTTTGGAGAGCATATCCGATGATGAGGATTTGTAGGTAGGTAACTACTTTCCATGTAAGATCCAATGGGAGAGAGTTCCCAGGGGCCTTCAGTGTATCCATCTGCTTGGGAGGTTGAGGGAGGGGACATGAAATCAAAAAGAAAAAGGAAATATGTGTCAAATTGGATTTGGTCTTTTCCAAGTTTGTTGCCATAATGTAAGAACTGTCTCCCTGGGCTGTGACGGTGCTGTGTGATTTAAAGGTGATCTTTCCCAAAACACCTGGCCTTTTCTGCCTCTGCCTCTGCCAAACATCACAGCCTTTGGGTTGGACTAGTCAGCACTGCTTGGGATTGTGCAGAAGGGGTCTGAGGTTGCATCAAGTGGCACCTGTGGCGAACAGAATCTGAGGACACAACTCCCTCACAGGCACTTACTTGAACCTGGAGACAAAGTTCTCCTGGTGTGTGCCCAGGGGTGCAGGAGAAATTGATGGTCGTCTTCTGAACTTTTAGGACTTTAAAAAGCAGTCATGTTTCCATCCTCGCTGTTGACTCCTGGCTTAAAAGGATCTCCCAGGGTGAGTGAGGAGGCGGGATCGGACCCTGGCAGTCTGATGGCAACACCTGTGTTCCTCTGCACTGGGCCATGGACGACATTACACAACTTGGTGAGAATCAGGAATTACACACCTTTGTGAGAATCCGCATCTGGAATTGAGATGGGCCTTGAGTCATATAATTAGGTTGGAAAAGGTGCATTTTACTACCCTATTGAAAGAAACCATATTTTTCTCACTCCAGCAGGATATATGGTTTTCAGTATCCACTTAACTGCTCATTGACTCTTATTGTAGATCAAGAGGTGGCAAGCAGCCCCTGCCCTCCCCCAGTTGTAGGCCCAAGGTAACCAGCAAGTGACTGCATATAATGGAAAAGTGGTACATTTGGAGGTGTCTGTATTAATGAGACCCACATGATATGGGTAAGAGCTATTAGGGTGAGAAAAAACCTGGGAGCACAATGAAATATTTGAATATCAAACAAAACATTATTGAAATCTCCACTGTACTTTAGTAGTTGAAGTCATTCTTGTGGTCATCACTGCCTTTCCCAAGCATAACAAGCTACTTAATATCACACGGACCCATGCCATGAGGAACGATGATCAGTTTGTAAAATGCCAATAAAGCCATTGCCTGTATAAGCCATGATATTTCATCCATATATTTCAATTTCCATGTGTAAATATAGTTCAAATGTCAGAATTTATTATTATCTAATAGAATATGCATGGTATATCAATAAGCGATAACCCTCATACTCTTTCTATTAATAATTATTTGCATGATGAAAAATGCAGTATCCCATTCTTGGATTTTTCTTAGTTTGCACACATTAGCATGACCACCCATGTCCACCTGACATGTACCAGCAGGAGGCCAGGAACAGAGGCTTTTCTTTTT